CAATATTAATAACAATTGGCTACAACTGAGGCACATCCCCAAATGGGGAGGTTAACAATTTCAATGGTGCTGGCTCTGAAAATTGCCGTTTTTGCGTTCTCAATCTTGTTTCAGCCTCACGCGCAGCAGCAGCTGAAGAGGCGTTTCTCCTCAGCCGTTGAGACCTTTAATCATTATTTTCAACCCCGCTCGAAGAAGCGTTAGAGCATGCTCTTCTTGAAAGCCGATTGCAACGTTGATCTTCGTACACAATGGCTCTGATTGAAGCATTCCGAGTGGAAATTTGAGAAAGGCGAACTGAACATTCTAAAGGCGATTCGTTATTTCTTATTCGGATGGCCAACATGGCGAGAGCAGTTTTGCGACCTAGGCAAGTTCTTTTCTTTGGTGGCATATTTTAGGCAAGTATGAATTGTCAAATGGAGTGCGTGGGAAAATACCAGAAGAGATCGCTGTAAAGCTACAGGGATCGGTATGTTCGAATAAGTTTGGAAAAATAAATGTTAAGTAATAAAATAGCAAGCTTACTCATTACTACGGTGAATGCATTGCAAAAACTAGCAGGACAATAAAAACATTTAAATTGCGAACGGCTATAAACGACAATAAAAACAACGCCTTAAAACTGTAGTAATGTGCTTTATGCAATGGAAAAGGTAACATCACTTGAAATTCTTGTCCAAGAGAAGGGACAATGTGTAAGCAGGGCTGGACGTACAGAAGTAGAAGCAGTTTTGCGGAATTAAGCGGTAGAAATGAGCTAAGGACTGCGTAGACAATCAATAAGACATGGCAACATTTGATTGGACGTATAAAGGGACTTCATGCAGCCAATGGTTAATTCGAACAGGTGCCGTGTTCCGCAGGTCTTGTGTGCGCGTGTGCATAATCGCGTACATATCGCGTATTGCCGAGCCACACGTACACGCCTTGCTGCATGCGCTAATTATCAAGGTCAGCAGCAGCCGATGGGCAACGTGTAGAGGTGAGAATCACGCCCACACAGCATAAGCTATGATTTGAAGGTTATGTATGAAAAAGTAAATTGCCTGTGATTTTTGCGCAGAGTGTAAAAAATCTGTTTTTTTTTCGATTTTTCATTTTAAATTTTTTAATTTTTACATTCAATTTGGATTCAAAACCGACACTGAAGGATTATCTTCGAAACAAAACAAAAAATCCATCGAAATCGGATGAAAATTGTGGAAACACATAAACAGCGTCCGATCAACACACACACACATACATACATACATACATACATATATACATACACACATTTTGAGAATTATAGATATAGATTATATTATTGCAATAATTTAAATTATTTATTAAAGTTTTTATGAAAGATATATATCCAAGAACAGATAGTAAATAGTATAGTTGCTGAGATTTATAAGGGACAGGAAGTCGTGGAGAGCCATTGTCGGCAACAATTTGGACTCAAAATCGGCACTGAATAATTATCTATCAAACAAAAATGATTCATCTAAAAAGGATGAAAACTGTGGAAATGCGTAAACCATATTCTATCACATACACATACGCACACATTTTGTGAATTATAGAAATAGATTGTTTTTTAGTATATGTGATTGGTAATTACTATTTAACAAGAATTGATCCTATGTAACAATAATCAAATCTTCGGTTTCAGCCTTTAACTTTGCACTAAGTAACCACTAATGGGTATGGGGCTTGTTTATATTAGCGTTTTTTAATATGGGCAGAGTATTGGCCATGATGAGGGTTATCTTGTCATAGTTTCTGCATTTATTAGATTACATTTACATTAGCACTTGCTTTTGTTTATGTTGTTTGTGATTTCAATAGGTGTATTATGGCTTATTTATTTATTTATTTATTATTATTATTATCATTATTATTATTATTATTATTATTATTATTATTTCCTTTGATTTCGGATGTTATTCATTTCATTCCTAGTACCTCACAGGGACCTAAGTTTAGAAATGTCATCATGACATTTTCCTCTGGGGAAAAAAAGTAAAAAAAAACGTATTTTACATAGTCAAAGCTCTTCGTAAGGTGTGGTCTGTACTTGTGAGAACAATCTTTTGTATTTCTTTCAGGCATGAGCTTTCAGGAATCTCTTCAAGTAGTCTACTGGAATCTTTTTCAAACAATCCGAGGGTTCCTAGTTGGAGTGTGTGCTTGATCATTTCTAGTTAACAAGCACTGATCCTGTGTAGCAAGGATAAAACGTTCCGTTTCAGCTTATAACCCTGCATTACGTAGCGTACAGGGTTCTGTCTACGTCAGCTTGTTTGGTACGGGCAGAGTATTGGCCATGAAGCCATTTATCTTGCCATTGTTTCTGTATCTGGTCGGTTGCATTTGTTTTTGCTTTCTTTTTTATGTATTTTGCAGCTTCAGTCGGTGTATTGTGCTTTACTTGTATTTCTGCATCCATTTGAAATTTCATTTTGAACTTGTTGGCTTCTTTTAATACGGAAGAAAGGCGCTTACCACTTTCATGTTCTTTGATACATGTCATCATCCAGTCTTCCGTGGTTTCCAGCTATCTTTGAAGGCCAATTGTTGTAGTTTGTAGGGAATTATTATTATTATTGTTATTATTTTCTTTTTTTTTCGCTAGTTTTAGTAAAATTAATTATCTAGTCAACAGTTGCGACCTGGTAATGCAAGGTTTTACATTTATTTATTCTGGCTGTTCTATGTCTGGTGTTCAGTAATATTTAATTTTTACATTGTATTTATTACCTTTACAATTCTCCAGATGCGATGGACTGTTCCACATGGTGCATTTTTGTCTATTGTAAACCGGTTTTATTTTCAGGAAGTTTTTTTTATGCTGCATATGCATCCAATTATTACATGCATGAAAGTATTTTAATGTGACATATTTTTCCATTTCAGGTAAAAATCATGTAATTATTAGTAGCATTAAACTTAAGACCATCCATCAATAATAGGTGGTTGATAAGTTATTTCTTATCACTTGTAATCTTATATCCAGATTTCGTTTTACTGAGAATTAGAGTTAATGTCAGTATGATGATGAAAATAATAGCATGGGGAGTGAATCGCCTTGAACGCCCCACTTTTGATTTGTACATTGACAAGTTTTTTTTTTTAACCTTTCGATGTACATAGCGTCTTCCATCTAGTCATCCTGTTCCGTATAAGTTTTACGATATTCATAGCCACACCCAAACATATTCACGAATATTATGAACTGTGAGTGTGGTACCCAAGTATAAGTTTTGTGAGAATCTATTCCAAACATACACAAGTTAAACATCCGCCTAATTCAATTTTTAAGAATCGACTTGACAAAAAAAATGTTGGGATTCAGTAGAAGAATTCCTATCAACTTCTTCCACAAAGCTAGCAATGGATATATATTTGCTTGCCTGCCTAAGCATTTGTATAAGAATTGTCTTCTCTTAACCATCCATTGTGATACCATAAGCTGATATAAACATTCCTGCATATTTTGTGGCAAGACAGTTAAGTTTCTAAACAAGGCATCTTCATATTGTCCAGTTGCATTCTTAGCAACTATCCTTTAAACATCCTCTATATAATGGCTATATATTCCTGCATGTGTTTCTGCTGCAATTCCATTTCTTATTCTGGTAACAATGATGAATCCCCATCATATCTGATGTCATCTGAAAAATACTATGCTAAGAAATCTGGCAACTCAGAAGGATCAGGTGGTTGAGATTCCTCACATGATTTGCTATTTAGTTCATTGTAGAACAAATTTTGGTTCGTCTTGAAGAACCGTGTTATCGGATTGCTTCATCCTCATTCAATCTGCTATTTTGCATGTTACTAATAATTAGTTCCCTTTTCAGTCAGTTGATATTTGTGAGCCATTTACATTTGATCCTTATCTTTCAGTCTTATGTATACAGGTCAGATTTCCTCGATATTATTCGTCCTTTCGCCAGGATGCTATGTTAATATCAATTATTTTTAAGAACGGTTCATTTCTATTCTTTTCTACTACTACTCCTATTATTATTATTATTATTATTATTTTTATTATTTTAAAATATAGCGCGTTAAATGCCAATAAAATTAAAAGAGTAAATGATATTATTTGATTGAATCAATGTCAGATTGAATACATATCCACACAGGATGTTTCCGCGATTCATTGTAAAAATTAAATCCGGAATAAATATAATCATATTGCAATGTTTTTACTCAAGTAACATCATTTTAATACCCACCAATATTGGACTCCTTGGAAGAGCTGAAGTTTCAAAATGTTTTATATAGGAAGTAAAAGTGAAAAATCTACGCCATTAAAAAAATTAGCTAAAATATTGATGATAATGTTGGTATAATAGAAAGACGTAATGTTATTTACTTTCCAATGAGAGCCAAGAGTTCAGTAACTATAATATAACTTGATTTCATTTTTTCACTTTTCTTTTCTTTTCAATGAGATGCATCCGATGAATGTTTCTAAATAGTTCTCTTTCATAAGTAATTAAGAAAGTCATTAATGACACTAACTGGTCTTTTTTTGTTTTTTGTTTTTTTTTAAATTATTCTTTAGCAATATTGGCCTTATTTATATTTCGCTTACATTATGATTGCAAGAAATAAGCTTTTCGTTTATTTAGACAGGAATTAGATTTCAAGAAAAATGATCATGTAAATTCACATGACACGAATGCAGATAAAACAGGATGTGTTTCTTCTGATACTGTCTACGCTACGGTCAGGTAACCAGAGTAATCACACACATGGACAATAATAACAACTTTTTTCGCTGTTTGCCAAACAAGCTTTCGAGTGTGAGTTGAAGAGATTTTTATAACCTCACCTCTTCCGCCAATCGAAATGGAAGTCTACTAAAGCGGAGGAGAATGAGGGTTTCGCCACTCTACACACGTAAATCTATCCTTCATTATTTCCGACACACTGGATATAACAGTGGGTCAGTGTACCCTAAGCCAGCGACAGTGGATATTTAACTTCGTATCTAAAATACGATGACCTATCTATTCGACCACCAGAGAGGATCAGGCCATCCTGATCCATATCGCGGTCTACTGCAGGACTTAATGTGGCGTAGACATTACAACTGGGTTTCTGAGAAAGTCCAGTTCCTCGGCAAATTCTCGCTGTTGTGCATTCACAGCAGGTATAAGGCCGTCTTCCTGTTATACTCTTCCTCTCGTCACCTTGCCAGTCCAATGAACCGGAACAGCAAGTATGTAACTCTCAACAAAGCATTAGATGTAGAGAACCGAAGCAAGACATTCCCAAGTGAGGATCGTTGACGATTGTGCAATGCGCTGACACCGATTGTCAAGGAAGAGTAATGTCCAGAAGAGCCACGGATGGACATTCATTTCACATCCAAGAATAACCATGACACCAAATTTAGAGGCTCAACACGAATATTATCTGAGTTAGTCCTCTGGTGATAAGGTCAGCTGGGTTCTTTGTTTTGGCGACATAACTTAATCAAGGTTGGATTCAGTATTTGTCTTCCAAGGCAAAACTCATCTGCAAAAATGTCCTTGAGCCTATTCCTTGCAAATTATTACCATGGACTGAAACAGGAGCCAGGTTAATACTACGTGGGCATCAGTCGCTACGCACAAATTGGAAGTGAGAAATTCCTTGCAATTGTCTAATATCTGTGGTAAACATTTGAGAGCGAAGAAAACCGCCATCGATTCCAATGTGTTTTCTCATTAAAAAGTTCAAACTTATCCTTAGCTAAAATTAAGGCGGATTGATGTTCCTGTAAGTAGGTGGCAAAATCAAATGCTTCCTTCGATGCATCACAAAAAAGGCACACTTCTCCCGCCCGGCCACCAACGCAGGTCTGTTGATTGAAACTAATACCGCTTCCTCCTGAGAGATCTTTTGCAACTTTCCTCCAGGAAAATTGTTACTCCGGAGGGAGTTGGTCATCCCAAACGAGACCCCTTTTCCAAAACTCCCTCCCGACTTCGGGCGGTCACCCGGATGCAGAAGGACAATGGATCGATCTCTCTGGTCGACTCGGAAAGTATCCGCCTTTTAGTAGATACATCACCGAAGCGGAGCAATGCGAATTTTCTCCGAAACAGCGTTGTACGTGTAACCGAGCACCTTCTCCCACGAATCATCGTGTGCACTGAGGTTACCGTCCCTCCTCATCTCATTCCTAAGGCGGTAACAGTTAGAATTGTATGATTATACCATAAACCCATCCTCCTGAAGATGCTACTTCGTCAATTAATATAACTCCGTGAGGTTTACTCGATCTTTATCAGTCACCACTAGATTGTCGGCATAAAACTGGTCCTCTATTATTGTTCGACAATCATCTAAGAGATATCAACCCGCGTGACATGTCAAAATACTCCCAAGTAACACCGGACAGGATGTGAATGCGAAAATAATTTGTAGCATATCAGAAACAATGAATCCGGTCACCATCCCTAATGACAAAACAAAACCTGTTCTTGATAGGCTACCGTCTAAGACGAATCATCAAAAACGCCTTTCGAATATCAGCCAGCAAGACACACTCGTTGCTCCTGAAGAACAGCAGCAACTACAAAATATCACCCGACAAGTTTACACCAGATTAAGCAACATCTTTAAGAAAAAACGAGTTAATTGTCTTCAGACTGCAAGCGAATACAGGTCCGATCCTGGTAGAAGCTGGAGGATCAGATGTAAAAATGGGTCGTTATAGAATCCAAATATAAAGTACAAACTTTCTCGGAGACACAAACATTTCTTAAATAAACCTTTCCTTCTCTTGTAGAACGAACACGTCCAGATACTACTGATAAAGTCCTTTTTTCTCCATTCCTCTGACCACACAGTCCAAGATACGTAGAGCCATTGTGATAGGACCTCGGCCTGCTTGTCAAAATGTCATGGCATCTGCACATGGTAACTCCTTAAACGCTATAGAACTTTTGCCATTGCTGAATTTGATCCTGGTCATAGTTCGAAATTTTCTTTTCGTTCTGAATCCTCAATGTCGCTATACTAAGCACCCTCTCTAATCCTCTATGAATCTGGCTGAAAAATAAGAAAATCTGTCAATGCTCTACATAAGTTGGATCAGACTCCAGGATAAAGCCCAAATGACACGAATTCACCAAACGACAGACGACTCCAGCAACTTCATAGAGGTAGCGAGATTATCTCTTAGTCACGACCAACATCCCTCGCTTGTATGCATCAGTGTGGCTACCTTTGTTGAGTCTGCACAGCTTGCCTGATAAAATTCCTACTTAACCATAGTATCTTCTAATGTGATGATGATCCTAATAACCATAGTGTCTTCTCAAGGGATGATGATTTTCTGGACATCTAGGATAAATTCGGCCAAACTTCCAAATTACAAAATTTTCTCTATTTATTTCGCAAGAAAATTATCCTCAGAAAAAAATATCCCAGTTAATTACTGATCTTAATCACGTGATCAATTGAAAAAAAAAACATAGGGAATTACTATGTTTATGACCTCGATAATTCTGAAAGAGAATTGTTTGTATTTATTGAAAGCTGCTCAAAATCATGCCAGTTGTGTTCCATTTACAACGCGTTAAATCTGTTGTTGAAATTTTGGCGCATTTTATATATTCCATTTCGACCACAAGCGTTGTTCGTTTGTGATTTTCTCGACTGCATGCTATAGAATAGCATGAATATCTGAATATTGCCTTCAGAGTTGAATGAGTCTAATAGTTATTAGGAAAGAGTTTGGAGTGATTACTAGTGATGGTGACTATGTGCCTTTATTCTTTTTCTCACAGGGCCTCAGGTTCTACATGGAGACCTACATCAAGAACCTTGAGGAGGTAGGGCTGTCCTTGGTCAAGAGGTTAGCTGATGGAAGAGACTATGTATGACAACAGGATTTTTCATCATGCCACACAAACAGCAGTACACAGTCATGGCTGTCAGACATTTTCTGCGGCCACATCACTGCAATATTATGATGTGTGGGGCACAGCTGAGCGCTGGACCTACAAAAATCCTTTTAACAGCAAAAATGAATTGAAGGCAAGAATTATGTCAGCATTCATTAACTTAAACAACGTGACCATCTAAAAGAGTTTCAGCAGATTCCAAAGTCGTCTGGAGGCCTGAGTTTAAACCAATGGCGATTTTATTGAACAAATTTACTCTTTAGTATTTCAAGATATTCTTGTGTAATTTTGGTAAATGTATCTGTTAAAATGCGATGTCAGTGTAATTTCCATTTTTGTAATTTAGACGACAAATTATCCATCGCAACCTGTAAAAATTTGTGTGAGCAGGCGTGAGTGAATGTTTTCAGAGAAAAAAATATGATATATATATATATATATATATATATATATATATATATATATATATATATATATAAATATTGATGAAAAATAGAAAAGAAAGTCTATTTAACGCGTTTCGTCCTGAAAAAAAAATATTGAAATTACTGGCGTACACTGTGCCTTGAGGTACACTTTAGCCAACTTCATTCAATTTATCAATGTTTTTATTTTGATAGTTTTCTTGTGTGTTCCAATATCGTCTTGAAATATCCCAGATAATAAGAGTAGTAGATTTTGTAATGTCGGTGAAGTGAAGTATGAACATGAATGGGAGATTTACAGCGGAAATCAGTGTACTTTCTATATATTTTCACCTTGGCAATCTACTTTATATGTGAATCAAAAGTACATTGCTTTGGCAGAAATTATAGGCAGATTCATTATGCTAAACTACTAAGTCACTGAGTGTGTTGTTTTATAGACAATCTCTTTTGTATTTATATATAAATACGTGGTACGTACTGTCATATTTATTACAAAATATATTATACATTCTTGTTATCATTTACTCTATTTTTGTTTTAAGAGCAGTAATAACAGATTTAGATTTGTGCTTTTTATTTGTATTCGTAGCTGAATTTTATCTAGTTTTATCAAGATTGATTAAATTCACCGCACATTTCACTTTTCTTAACATATATACTGCTATATTTTGTAGTGTGGGATATTTAAATAAACATGAATATAAGTAAAAAAAAATGTTCGTAAGCTGAATAAAGTCGATTAATCTATACGACTAGACACAACTGATACCAGAAATATAAGTATAAATTTAAATGTATGTGCCTACATGTTTAGCTTTTCCACTCTATGTATAATTATAATCGACACTTTTGTTTATATTTTAACACTTCCCTCCTACACATATAAAATACCATCTATCATAACATTAGTTTAGTTTGATGGTAAGGTCTAAACTTGTTAAATCTCTATTTTTTCCATTTTGACATTCACTTATCCAATATTTTTTATATACGTGGTTTTACTGACAGTGTCTATGTTGTATCTACTTCCCATAATTTGGAAGTATTTTCAGAATTACAGTTGAAATATTTCCTAAGACAGACCTAAAACATTTCAGCTCATCTCTTTTCTCGTAAATATATCTATATGATATGTGGATGAATGAGAATGTAAATATTTATATATATATATATATATATATATATATATATATATATATATATATATATATATATATATATTTGTTTGAGAGAAAATTGTCTAATATTGTACAGGTATAGTCTTGTGTGATTAGCGGTTTATATATTTCAATATAATAGTTGGATTCTAGATTTCGGATTTTTAACTCTCTCTCGTTTATCATTTGCGAATCTTTCAAAATGTCTATCGCATTATAATTCTTTCGTTTTGCTGCAAACATGTTTTTCAAGCTGTCCGATATTTTTTATCAGTACACTCCCTCAGGTCTATAGTGCTTCTACAAATCACAACATTTTTGCAGGAAATTGGAGTATATATAATAATATGCAGCCGCCAATATGTATATGAAGAAATATGAAATCTATATAGAAATCATTTTCAAAAACTCGAATATCCCCATTATCTCATTCATATTCATAAGAGAAAGATAATGACATTACTAGAAACAATAACAATGGCAACATACAAGATAAAATCAGTCATATAATACTACATATTGATGCCTTAAATATACTATCAAATACAATTTATACAATTTCAACACTATCAACATAATTACAAACCAGGTAAAACTACCCTAGATATGAGCGGGACCCAAAAATTTCTTCACAATTATAATTCTGAAGCAAGAAGATATAAAATAATCTATCGCAGCTGATTTACATTGGGGAAACACAATAAGGATCACATATACAACAATTTACGAAATCCATTTGATATACATAGGAATAAATTCAATCCCAAATTTCTGTTATTAAAAGATTAAGTAACTTACATCGACGGAAAATATAATACATAAATTCATCCCATACTAAAATAATTTAATATTAATTATATAAAAACTCAACATACACTGGCGAAAATGTTTAAGTCCGTTGGTTAAAGTTTTATAAGATTTTATAAGACCTTACGGGTATTATATTTAAAGCAAAAAGTTATAGTAAAAATAAAAATGATATAAAATATAATAATATATATATATATATATATATATATATATATATATATATATATATATTTAGTACCGCCGTTATTTTACAGGTTCACATCGCCTAGGCTTGATAAGTGAATGTCTTTGTGAATGGGCTATTATCTTGTTGATAAATAGCTCCAGGTTGCCTTTTTGGTCCAAATCCAAATATGGCAGAACGTGTACCTTACCTAGCGGTATATATGCAGCTAGTTAAGGAACATGTTCTGCCATATTCCGTCCTAAATTTATTTCCATGTTCAGCCATATTCCATCCTACATGTTCTGCCATATAGACAGCGCAAGCGGGAGGTGGGTTTGTAATTGTCTGGGTGCGTTCAGTAGCTTAAGAATTGTTAAAGATGATGGACCAATAATTAAGCGTCTGAAAAAGTTTTTTTTTTTTCATCTGATCAAAAGATGCAAAAACGTGACTCGTCACTTCAAAGAACTCTCCACCAGTAGTCCGCCGTCCATTGAATGTGACTTTTCACGAAATTCAAGGGCTTGAGTAGATTCCTCTTCGAAAAAATTGTTTTTTTCCTAGCAATGCGCCCAAATAATACAAATTCTCTTAGACGGTTTTGGACAGGTTGTGGCGTAAAATTAATGCCAGTTTTACCAGATAATTTGCTACAAATATTCACGGCCCTCAGCATATTGTTAGCTTCGGAGAGCCTATGAATTCGTGTATCCAGTTGCACTCTTGCATTTCTTTGGGA